CCACATGGAGTCTAAACGCCCCGGATCTCGAGGAACGTCTGCGCTGAGAAACTCCTCTAGCGGCCGCGCGTCATGATTAGCGTCGGCATGTTTACAGGATGACATAGCGTTTCTCAGCCGTTTGTAAGCTCTTTCAGTAGCTGTGGTCTACTAAAAGACTCAAAGGCATCAGGACTAAAGTGGAGTGAAAAAAGAAGCGGGTCTTTAGGAAGTTTTATTCGTCCACAGGCATCTTCCCATTCTTTTCTTCTCTTCTTGTGAAGTTTGCATTGCTTCTCTTGTTGCCCTTCGACTGAAAATTACAACCAAAAGTCACACAATGTGATATCGTATCAGTATTTCATTTTCTGAGTTGTGTTGCGGTAAAAAGCCAAAGACTATAGAGATAAGTAGCTCACTGTGCAACCATTTGACGTCATCGACGCAGTATGTACTGTGCACATAAAATAACGGCGCCCCCCCATAGTCCAAAAACCATGTCGATTTTTTTAAATAACATACATCTTTCATGGAGTTTCTACTATATATTTAAATAAGAGACATCATTTACGTTATATTAAGCTGTACATGTCTTAATACCCGGGGATCCCTTTAAAGGAATCATAGATGCCAATAAATAACCTTTATTTTTAAGAGTGTAGAACCTTTCCATTGGATAAAAAATGCTTTACACTCTTAAAAATAAAGATTCCAAAAGGAGCATTAGCAGTGATGCAACAGAAGAACCATTTTTGATTCCCCAAAGAACCTTTCAGTGAACAGTTCCCAAAACAACTAAAAAAGAAAATAAATAATGGAAAAGGGTTCTTTAGATTATTAAAATGTTCTTCACATGAAAGAAAAGAATGGTTCTTTTAAAGGGGTCATATGATGCTTTTTTAAAGATCATTATTTTGTGTATTTGGTGTAACAGAATATGTTGACATGCTTTAATGTTAAAAAACACATTATGTTTCAAATACTGTACATTACTGTAGGTCCTCTATGCCCCGCCTCTCTCAAACGCTTAGTTTTCTACAAAGTCCTCTCCTTCCGACAAGCGCAGTCTGCTCTGATTGGCCAGCTGACCCAGTGCATTGTGATTGGCCGAACACCGCAAGCACTCGTCGGAAATGTAACGCCCCTTACCATAATCGCGAGCTTCATCTTTCAAAATAAATATCAAGACAGAGCCCGAAAGGGGAACAGATTCGCGTGACAGACACAGTGATGAAGCTGGTATGTGTTTGCAGTACACAAGCCATGGTTTAGACAGCTGACTCCACTGTGATGTGACCCTGTCTCTTTCTTTCTCTCTCTCTCGCTCTCACACACACACACACACACACACACACATGATGTGCAAAACTCCGCATTTGAACAGTCAATAGCACATACTTAAACTAATAACAAAACAGTAGCTGATTCAGAAGCGCCAGATTGTCATAGCAAAATCAGAATTACCTCCTCTCCTAGGTTCACGAAATGGTCGTCCATAAAATGCATTGCTGTTCTGTTGTAAGTAATCTTAAAGATTCCTAAATGCATCTACTTCCGGAAGGCCAAATAAAGTGCTTTTGCTTTCACCTAGAAACACACAGCGTCTCCCTGACATGCTGCTTCAACACTACGGTTACTGAAACCACGCCTTCTTTCTTTGCGTGCACATTTGGGCAGCATTATGCAAATATTTCCACATAGTGAGGTAGATATGTGGGGGCATCGCTGAGTCTTAACTTTGATAAAGAATATCTCTTTGGTTTTAAGACTTTAGTCTTTGCAACTTCAGGGATCTTATCTATGCACAATCAGCTTGTAACACTCCAAAGAGAAAGGAAAACTTGAAATCATATGACCCCTTTAAGAACTGATCACTGAAATGTAATTTTGGCAACCAGAAATGGTTCTTCTGTTGCATTGCTGCGAATGCTCCTTTTGCAACCTTTAGTTTTAAGAGTGAAAGCAACTGCAGCCAACCTCCTTAACCACTAAGCAAGTCATTAAACTACTGATCTCTCTTCAGACTGTCCAATTATTGAATATACATATACAGCCTAAATGGCCTCCACACAGTTGTAAACTTTCAGGCTTTCACAGCTTAGTTTGTCTTCATGAACTTTCCTGTTCTAGGTTTCTCATGAGGTTTGCTAGAGATCATCATCAGCTCTGATATTTTGTCATGTTTGTTAATGAGTCTCATGTGCTTCCATCTCCAGTGAAGATCGACCCACCCTTTAACTTGACATACATCATGCTGAACGAGAGCGTCAGTGAATCCGGGCGCAGTATTTTGTTGTCATGGTTGTATCCAGTTGCATCTCAAGTGCGTGAAGGATGGATTACACTCATCTACGAGCTACGCTATAGACATCTCGCTCAGCCAGACAACTGGAGGGTACAGACACAGAGAGTCTGTTTATTGTGTTATAGAACAGACAGAAGGGAAAACAAATATTTTACTCTTAAAGGAAGGAGGAGGACTCGTAGCTGAAGTTTGTTGTATGTGTGGTTTGGTGTTTGTAGGTGAAAGAGCGTTTGCGTGAGCCTCATGTGGAATTGTTGGATCTGCCAGTTGGAACGTATGAGTTCATGGTCCGCTGTCGCTCCACCAACAGCAAACACTGGAGCACATGGAGCGAGTCCATCAACATCACCATAAGCGGCAGACCTCTGTCCGGTATACACACAGACACACACACACAGGTTTGTTTTTGTGAAAAGTGGGGACATCCCATAGGCGTAATGCTTTTTATACTGTTCAGACCGTATATTTTATTGCCCTACACCAACCCTACCCCTAAACCTACCCCTTACAGGAAACTTTGTGCTATTTCAGATTTTCAATACATTCCATTCTGTGTGATTTATAAGCGTTTGGAAAGTGGGGACATGGGGTAATGTCCTGAAAAGTCACCTTCTCCTTGTAGTACCTATGTCATACCTTTGTCATTATACAAATGTATGTCCTCATTTGTCACAAAAACGCACACACACACACACGTCTGGTTTACTATCCTTGTGGGGACTCTCCATAAGTGTAATGGTTTTTATACAAACTGTATTTTCTATCGCCCTATACCTAAAGCTACCCCTCACAGAAAACTTTCTGCATTTTTACATTATCAAAAAAAACGAATTCTGTATGATTTATAAGGTTGTTTCTCCTTGTGGACCTCAATTTAGGTTCCCTATGTTGACACGAGTCGGTGTGTATTCAGGTTTAAGCCCCCACCGGGATAGAAAAACATGTACACATACACACACACACACACACACACACACACATACAAACACACACACACACACACACTCACAGACACACAATAACATATCAACTCGTCTGTCACGACTGATAGTTGCAGCTCTAAATGTCTCTGTCTGTCTGTCTGTCTCTCAGATCGGAAGTTGGCCTTCATCCTTGTGACCAGCATTGCCATTATGGCCTTCCTCATAATTGGTTTTGGGATCGTCCCACGAGGCAAGAGGTCAGTGAAGTCATGAACCTTGTAGCTCTGGTATCAGTATCGATGGACTGTCGACATGACATGACTGTCAACACGGATGGATCTGTAGATCTGCATGATAGGGTCACATGATCCAAAGGCTTGATTAGATGTTTAGTTTGGTCACAAAGAATCACAAACCTGCAGACATCTTTCACATTTTCTCTTATTTTGAGTGAAAATATGTTGAATTATTGTACCATGCTTAGCTTTGAGGAACAGATATAAAACATAAAAATCCCAATAAATGAGTAAAAACACAACATGTAAGAAAGAAAAGTATTAAGAAAACATAAGTAAAAAAACTCTTTAATCTTTACTAAAGAAGAAAAAAATGTTTTAGATTTTTTTTTAAATCCACAGTCTTCCTAATATGATCCATGTTTCCACCTTTCACAGATGGTTCTATCTTACCCAAAACCTAAGACAAAGTCCCTTTCAAGGAAAGACTGTTCACTTGGTGGCCTCCGGGCAGCCATTTTGGGCATCCAAGACCAAGTCCAATCTAAATGAATGGGGAATTCTGAAATCTTGAAAACTGCCTGCTGATTTCACAATTAAATTACATATTTTAAATCAGCATCAAATTCTTAAATGAATGGGGAATTCTGAAATCTTAAAAACTGCCTGCTGATTTCACAATTAAATTACATATTTTAAATCAGCATCAAAATCTTAAATGAACTGCCTCATGATTGTAGTTCTTTATACTCAAATAGTGTTAAAAAGCTTATTTTTCAGGCTAGACCAGTCAATGCACATGTGCAGTCATAAGCCAGTCTCCAGTTTCTATGGGAACTGGAGCTTCTAAATGTAGCTGCAGTGATGCAATGACTTTTCCAATCAGTGATTGGCTCTTTCATTTAGAAGGCGGGGCATATTCTGGCATATTGCATGTTGCAATTTCTCTTATTCATAAGTAATAGGAGTGAACCTTCTTTGTATATCTATAGTCTTTGCCTAAGATCACCTACTTTGTGGGGAAATGGATTAATAAACATACAAAAGTATGTTTATCTGAAAATGTAAAAATGCAAAAAGTTTTCTGTGAGGGTAAGAGTTTAGACAATACTGTTAGCTCAGTATAAAAACAATACAAGTCTTTGGCAAATCCCCACGAAGATACCAAAATAAATGTGTGTGTAATTACTTTATATATTTAGTATTTAATTACTTAAAAGTATTTAATTACTTTTTGGGGATGTCCTTATTTGTAAAATGGTATAAAAATAAAGTAAATGAATTTGAACAAAAATTAAAAATGAAGAAGGTTTTCTGCAGTGGTTAGTGTGTGGGTTAGGGTTAGGTTACAGTACTTATAAGTAGCTGTTTATAAAAACAACAGAATGGAATGTTGTCATTAAGATAACAATGTGTGTCTGTGTGTTTTCTGTTATTGTCTCATTGACATTTTACTCTGCTTGTGTTCATTCTGCAGAATTAAATCATTCCTCCTGCCACCGATTCCCAAACCGCGCATTCGAGGGCTTGAACCTGTTCTGCTGAAGGTCTCATTGTCCCGTCACATAATACACTCCTGCTCAGAGTTACATTGTTTGAGTTATTACCAGTGTTTAGATCAACTATCACTAGTACTATTACTGATCAAACCTCTAACAGTAAGTGTGTATGTTTGTGAAAATACCTTAGCAACTAGCAACATCATGACAACCAGCACAACACTGTTGGATGATTTATTAGAAACCACATGAGGAACTTAAAGAAGCATCTGCTTTACCTTCTTTTCTCTTTGTCCTTTCTTGTCCCTCCAGAAGGGGCAGATTGACGAGATCAATCGTCATTTCTCCAGTTTTCACGGCTATAAGTCGCCACAGTACTGCATGGAGATGTGGTACCAGGTGAGCGTGGACATGTGTCCGTCTGCGATGCCCAACAGCGTCCCGTCTCAATATAAACACGAGGATGCACCGATCGCACAGCACGTCACCTGGCCTGATGGACAACAGTCTGTTCAGACGAGCTGCAATCCTGCGCCTTACTGTTGTGGCCCCGCTTCCTATTGCGAGGGAGCCACGCCCCCTCCAAATGCTGGCCACGCCCGCCCTGAGCTTGTGTCCATCCCAGGCATGGACTACAGCATGATTCTAAACTCGGCCCCTGCACCACCGATGACTCAGGACTTCTACACATGTGTGAATGGCGTGACGCCTGGCGGAGCTCTGCATCTGGTGCCCTGCCTGCCTGACATGCTGAAAAACACGCCCTACCTGCAGATTAAAGAGGGAGCAGATGATGGCATGGACAAGAGCACGCTGTTGAGCACGAGCGAATCAGACCCAAGCGAAGCTGCTGTGCATTTGCTACCTCATTCATCAGACAAGAACTGAGCACAAATCAGCAAATGCTCCAGTGTCCGGTAATGCACATGCGATGTACAATCACATGCCTCATACACATACATTAACACAGCCCAGGAGTCACGCAGTCTGTGCTGGTTTGTTTTGATAGGAAATATGACTGGTGTTTCAGTTCAGAATGAGCGCTTTCGCATGCAGAATGCCTGATTCACGGCACAAGCGTCAGCAGCGCATATTTTTTCACTGCTTATGTTAAGAAACTAGGTTGTTTACATTGAAGCGTGAGTCTACTTTTGCAACGATGCTCATGCACAATTAAATTGACAACGCACCGTTTATTATGGAGATAGAATTGTTGCTTAATTCCAAATAAATAGATTATGATCCACAAATAAATGTAAAGAGATTAACAAAAATTAAACATATTGACAAATAAATAGAATGAGATCCACAAATAAATAAAATGAGATTTGCAAATAAAAAACATATTCACAAATATATATTTATGTCACAACCACAACTTTGCCTGGCATTTATTTGTGAATCGTGTCCTGTGCATTTGCGAATTGTGAAACATTTCTTCCGTCAAGACGTGCTGACAATCCACAAATACGTGGACTCCACCCACCGTCTACTCAAGCCAATCAAATAACAGCCACATTTCGCTAACCAATCTCGCTATAGCCAATCACGTTTTGCTTTACAATCAGGGCGGTCTCGTCCTGAGATAACTTCATTCATCTGCATTGACTCAAATAGGTAATATAAGGGCCATAAAATGGGTACCGTAAAAGGTGTTTAAAATTGGATTTCGTTAGACCATTAGACTGTGCATGATGAAGTGTAGTAGGTTAGACTAGTGCGTGTGCGCATTTACAGTGCTTTCTTTCACTGTATGATTCAGTTTATTAATATACATTTCGAATGATTACAAAATTCAAGATATGGGAGCAGAAAATGTATACATTTATATCAGTTAATATAGTTTATATAAATCTCATTTATATATCAATGTAATTTATTTTCTTCAAAAATCTACATGATTTCAAATGTGATATTAAAATTATGTGATATTAATATACAGTTCAATAAACAAAAAGTTAATTAAGAGACTTAAGTTTTAGACACCATATTGCCTGTTTTTGCTCTATTTCGACAACAAAAATAACTCCAAACAAAGCCACAGCACTGTTTTGCGCCTCTGAACAGTGTGACATCTAAATGCCACTTCAGATGCAGCTTCTGTGTTTCCTCTGCATTCCAAAGATTAATTTAGTTGATAATTATACCATTTGTTTGGTAACAAATGGTATAATATATATAAATTTTAATTTTTTATATTTAGATCTTCAGTGTTTCCCATCCATTGATTTATTTGTGGCAGCCCACCCCAATATCAAAATTGACCGCCACAAATAAGTTTTCCAAAAGGCTTGGACTTCGTTGAATAAACATGAGCACTGCATGTGTCAAAGTCGAAACCCGGTGCAGGTGTTTTTATATCACTGTATTTTTGAAGGAAACCGACTGTCTTCAGAAAATGATGGATGTCATTTTCATTTCATCTTGCCTGTAATGCCTGAGCAGCCTTTGTGAGTGCAGCATTTATTTGATTACAGCTGTTACTGGTACCTCTATTTCTCCCGCTCTACAAGCGCCTCCTGCTGGCAGAGAATGAATTTGCATATATAAGTTGTTATTATTGGCTGAATAACTCTAGAAGGTTTTCACAAGCCCTTTCAAATTAAATATGCAGGCTACACAGTTTGGATTAAATGAAAGTATAGTCAAATTTTTTAATTAGCATGTGTTTTTATTTTGCTTTGGTACCGAGAACCGTGGATTTTCACTGGCATTGGTACCGAATACTGATATGTTGGTACCGTGACAACATTCCTATCACTGCTGTGAACTGACCACCACAGAACATCAAAAACTTTATACATCGTTAGATCCACATAGCAGCTCATATACATTGGCTTGACTGAAAAACTGGGAAATGCTGTTGGCTGTTGTGTGACGGCAATTTAACCTATTACACAAACAAATGTTTATTATGAGGTTGAGTTCAGTTATTTATTAGTCAGTTACTTATTGACGTTTTTTTCCCCATATTGAATAACATGACGCTTCCATATCGCATTTGAATCCAGTATAGCATTGTTTTGTATTTCTCTGGCATTTTCAAAGGCATGTAAAATATAATACTGTGGCTTGGCATGATACACAGTCTAATGGTCTAACGAAATCCAATTTTAAACATCTTTTACGGTACCCATTTTATGGCCCTTATATTACCTATTTGAGTCAATGCAGATGAATGAAGTTATCTCAGGACGAGACCGCCCTGATTGTAAAGCAAAACGTGATTGGCTATAGCGAGATTGTGCTACGATTGGTTAGCGAAATGTGGCTGTTATCTGATTGGCTTGAGTAGACGGTGGGTGGAGTCCACGTATTTGTGGATTGTCAGCACGTCTTGACGGAAGAAATGTTTCACAATTCGCAAATGCACAGGACGCGATTCACAAATAAATGCCAGGCAAAGTTGTGGTTGTGACATAAATCTATATTTGTGAATGTTTTTTATTTGCAAATCTCATTTTATTTATTTGTGAATTTAATTCATGTTTGTGAAACTTTAAGATTTATTTGTGGATCTCATTCTATTTATTTGTCAATATGTTTAATTTTTGTTAATCTCTTTACATTTATTTGTGGATCATAATCTATTTATTTGGAATTAAGCAACAATTCTATCTCCATAGTTGATGGACTAAATGAATAATATTTTAATCTGAGAAAATGCAAAAATGTGTAGTTTTGATATGAATTAGAGAAAGTCATGTAAATTATTTAGTTACCATTCAGATGCATATTTCCATATTTATGTAAATACGATTTTACAGGTGATTAAGGTTGTAATATTTATTAACAACCCTCTTCTGATCACCATTTAATGTCATAATGCTAGTTACTAAATGAAATAGTCACTGTAGTTAACTAAAATCTCTGCATAGAAGGCAGAAACTCTCTCAGTGTGAATTCACATTTGAATTTGCTGGTGTATTTTCGCTCACGCTTGCGATGTGAAACAGGCAAGAGCCACAGTCGTGTTTTATTTCATACAGAGAGCGCACAGATAATCTGCGGGTCATTGTGGGTGTTTGCAGTGAAGTGTTTCAGTCAGGACAGTTGTAGTGTTTAATAAATGAAAGTGAGGCCGAGAGAGACAGACTGTTGTTTCTCATGAAGATCCTTCAGCTGATGAACATCAAAGCATTAAATAGGGTGTCTTTCATGACTGTGGTTCATGTCAGGAGAGAGAAGTATCAGTAAATCACCATATAAATGGAGCTCGAAGCTTGAACAGACTCCATGGACAGAGCAGAATCTCGGGTCGAACTAGAAACAACTGAAATGAGGAAATCATGTTTATTTAATGGCCAGAAGGAAGAATAGAGAGGGAAATTATCACTGCTTGAGATCTCAACAGGAATCCGGTCACATCTCAACCATGACCAGCTAAACACACACAGCTCTCAATGCATAGTGGAGAAATACAGAGCTTTATTTGAATAAAGATGTCATGGACAAGGGCCGTTGTCCATCAGTGTCCTCTTGCAGTCATATGATTCAGGTTTTGTTCAGTTTCTAGAGCCTGAATCTCATCCAGATCTGCTTTATGGTCTAATGACATGAGAGCAAAGAATGTGTCACTCAGTTCAAATGCTGAGGAATATGAAGAATACGGAAAACATGTATGTCAGCACTTAGATTCAGACCATCACAGTCTTCATGTCATTGTCATTTCAAATGAAACCACACAGACTGTGTCATCACTCATGGACTACACTGTAACACACACACAAATAGCTGAACTCAAGGTTTATCATAAGTGATCACAGGGTTGTTCATGCCAGACCCGCTTGCTGTGTGACAGCCTCTCGCTTGACGAGTTTCTGGAGCAGGTGTCAGGAAACAATCGGTCGTTCAGGCTGGAACTAAAACACACACTGAGACCTTAAAAATCAGATAATGCAGGAATATTTTTTTAAATAATGGACAGGTGAGAGAACTGATAATGATTCTGCCATCCACCCACTTCACTGTGATTCTCATCCAGTGTCTGATGTTGGATGTGTAGATGTAATTCTTATTTTATTTTGTGAACAAGAAGCATTTACAAGCCATGAATACAAAAATATGCACACCAAAGACAATACTATGAGCACATCACAAGACGAGTGTGCTGAATGTCAAACACTGTCAATGGCAGTGATCTGCATGAAGCAGACATGTGTTTCTGAGTCCCATCAAGATAAATATGAGTTCTAAAGAAACTCTAAAGTTGTTGTAACACGGGTTTATGATTTGCACGTTGAGCAAGTGATGATGTAATGAATGCATGGCTGTGATGATGAGCCACATGACACAATCCCATTTGAGTGTTTCACTGATGCATCGTAGTTTATACACTGATCCTCAAACATAGACAGTGAATAAAGCAAAAAGTTTTCATAAGTAGCATCACCAACGGGCTGAACTGAATAGTTCATAATGGCCTCATGTCATGGATGTTGAGGCTTTATTTTATTTGACTATGGCACTTTCCATGAATACAGTGAACACTGGAGTTAAAATATTAGACACAAACCCCAACCTGTTTTAGTAGGTTGAACTATTAACTATTATCTTACACAAAATTAAGCCAGCATGAAAAGTAGCTCGTTTGAACTACGTGAAATGTTTGAGCGATTTATTGTATGCGAAAATGTTAATTGAAATCTCTGGAGTAGTTTGTAAATGTGCTTGTTATTTGATCAGTTTAAATTTTTACATTTGTTTAATGTTCATTGCTAGAAATGAATCAAAGTTTTAATTGTGTAACATCCCTGCAAACAAGCCTTTACTGGCCCTTTACGGGCCCACTTAGGGCTAGCCTAAGCGCCCCCAGCGGGCTGCCAGTGCAGGGCCTCTGAGATTTTGCTCATTGGCAAAACGTTGGCCCCTTAGTGCTGGCCCTGCATGGGCAGCCCTCACTTAGCCCCCAGGCAACCCGCACTAGGCCCACACTATTAATTTACAACAGTGGTGCCCAATCCTGTTTCTGGATATC